CAATGCTGAATGTGCATATAGTTTTTGATACTTTGCACTGACACATTGAGGGTTTCTACATGTATCTATATGGTGAAATGTTCATATCATATGAGACAGACTTGACTTGACTTGACTTTAACAGCACAAAGCATGTCACCTGTTGTAGTTCCATCTAAATCAGCTCTGTCAGGTCAGATTGTGTTAAAACAAAACTCTAAAAGTCTAACTTGAGTCACAGAGCTTCAGACTGACTAGTACCTTCCGTTAGCCCCCCAGGGAATGTTGGATGACATCAGCTGCAAAGTATCAATAAAGACAGGATATTTTGTTGTTTACAATCTGTAAATAATTGTAGATTGTGATTTAGATTAGTTTGCAATATATTGTGCAGGCTTAAACAAAACAGTCAACACTTTTGCCGAAGCTTAATAAACAGAGTGTTGCTGGAGATTGAACACTAGATATTCGTCACTATCGCTGCCTGTTTTAGATTTTTTTGTTTTTTTTTGTTATTGGTTTTGGCTAAGTTAAAATTAATTTGGGACTCCCTGTTCTTCTGCCTGGCGAGAATGTGTGAAATCATAAAACAGAGACACATAACGAAATGGTGATGTTGCATATTGTTATATAGATCCACACATGGAACCTGGAGTCTTATTTGCAATATCATATGAAGTAATTGCCATGTCACATATCTTTAGGAGTTATATGCTGAAAGACCTTGTCAGTGGATGTGTGTGTATGTTTATTAAGCTAGACATAATGCAGAAAATGACAAGATGAAATAGGTCGTGCACAGAGCTGAGTGTCTATTACATTTTAGTGAAACAGACAAGTGTTTATTTTACCAATGTTATGTTTAATGCATCAGCAGCTGGACCTCTTTGTGCTGGACCTCTGTGTGCGAGTACAAGGATGTGACCACCATGACAATGATCTCTACCAAATGTCACACAAAAGTGCCAAGGAACGCTCTGCATTTTTCTGTTCAATATTTCAGGAAGCAGGTGAGGAGCAAACCACCAGGGAGCCATGTTTTTGAGGAATGTTGTCACAGATCACATCTCTGCTCCAGCCTGTTGTCACTGTTAGTGTTACCGCTCATATACAAAGAGGTATTTCCAGAAGTTTATACTGATGTGTTCCATTTTAAAATGTGTGCTGTCTATCAAATGCTCACGATGCTGATACTTTCTGTGCACCCAAGACAAAATGTATCTGACAAAGGCTACAGCTGACGATAATTTTAGAAGTCGACTTGTCAGCGATTAATTTTTTTATTTGGCGACTTTTCAAACAATGATTTCTTTTGTTCATTGAGACATTTTAAATACATTATTAACCAAATAAAGGTTGCAGTGTGGTGACTGAAGGCCTGTGGGCTTTGGCTGGCAAATCCAGAACATCTCTTTCTATCTACCTTATTCTGCCCCTCCCACTTTTGTCTCTAAATGTTCCTAAACTGTACTTTTTTGTGGTGGCACTTCCAGTTAAACAGAAATCCCATTCAAGTCAATGGAGAATTTGGGAAATGTTTTTCATCATAAATATGACATAAAATTGGTTCATTTGTGTGATTTTTTTTTTCCCTTAATTTTTTTTTTGATATGCACATCCGTAATCGCCTACCCCACCTGTCAGTCACCCCCATTTGAAAACAAATTCAAAGACCAGACTCATATCTTTGTAAAGTATTCTAGATCCCAGGCAACTCCACATAGAGAATATTCATTAATAAAATTTATCATTGATGAAAATCAGAAATCTTTTACATTTTGATCGTCCAGATAACAGTTACGATGATCAAAATATGACTATGATTTTCTTTTTTTATGGTGTACTATTCACAGTGCAGCCCTAAAGACAAAAAAGTCAGTTATTTGGCCTAATTCTTCATTATCCCAATCTGACTTTATGAACCAATTGTATTATGTAATTGAACTCAAACTATACTGTACAGATATGATGTAGTCAACATAATATAATAATATAAATCAGATTATTAAACTGGCACAACCAGATTAGCCCAGAAATTTGTGCATAACCCCAGAGTTGTGTCCTTGTCGTTTTAATTGAGGAATAACAGAACTAGTCTCCAAAATGTGTCAAGCTGCCAGTACTGATTTACCTCATTATAACGAGTCCTTCTCTTATCATTTCTTCTTTATTACACTGATATTTAGCTGTACTCAGAAACAAATTGCTAAGCATAACAGACTGCTCTTAAATGCCTGGAGACTTAATGGAGAACAGCTCATTGTGAAATGCAAATATCATTTTAAAAAGCAGCGTCTTCATTACCTGTGTGGATTCACAGAGCAAACTGTTATGAGTATACATGAATCCCCAGACACACTACCTGTTTACTAACTTTAATTTAGTGAGCAACAACAGTTAAAGCGAACACATTTGAATCTGGACACTTGTTTCTACAAAGGGCGTTCTTGACGGTCTTCCTCATTATAATTTTAGGAGCTGCTTAATTCAATTTAGACAGAAAGCTGATGAAACTCCATTCATTTTATGTGCTGTCTAAGTGTGCCTGTGGAGAGGGTTTGTGCAGTGGAGTCAGGGAGACCCCCGGGACACGTGCTGCTGATCTTTGGTTCTAGGATGAATATGAAACATATTGGCTTAGTGCTGTAGAAAGGCTCTTACTCTTCCTCAGTCTGGACAGCCCCTCCTTCAGCTTGGGCCCACAATGTCTCAATAACCTTCAAAGTATCAGGATTCAGCGCGCGTCTGCTCCGTGTGACAAACACGCAGAGATGTTGTTCTCAGATTCACCGTCTGTTCCTTTGTAGCTCCACCAGATTAACTTTCATTTCAGAATGAGATATTCTGCCTTTTAAAATGGTGCTACATCCCAATACATAATTCTGGGAAGCTGAAGAAATGTTGAACGGACACATTATCACTGGACACATTTTAAAACAGCGGTAAGCACTGTAAAACAAAGTAAAAACAATTCCATAAAACATATGACACGATTTTTCAAATTTTTCACTTTTATTTTTTTAGGACCGTAGTGTCTGTTACACAACTTTGCCTGAGTCTGTTTACTGTTTTCAAACGCTTTGACAAATCTGACTTGTCATGGTCTGCAGACTCCAACACTTGAGGTTTTTGAAGCTAACGTGTTTGTGGTGGAGGCCATTAGACTGTAGGGCAGACAGTTCTGTCAAATGTTCACAAATGTCATTGCACAGTTTTTCTGTGATCAGAACATGTTCAAATCATCACATGAAAAACAAAAATGACTGATGAAACACAGGCCTCTGCTGGAGTATTGACCACATCAGTTATGGAGTAAGAGAATTATGTATTGTTAAAATTGGCCAAATAACTGACAGGAAAAAACAGCAACAGAACAAAATTAATTCATGTTCTGTATGTCAGGGCTCCTCTGGTCAATAGTGTAATTACCACATGGACAAAAGCATTGATCCTTCTGCAAACTGGGAGCTGGGGCTGACCAACTTCCTCAGTACTCAATACTCTATCCATTGAACCACAAATGTCTTTTTACGAGTGCAAAAATCATTTCTACAGCTGCATTACCTCACCCCACAAAGCAATATGTTTTGGTAGTGATTGCCCGTGTTGTTTCAGACCATTTTTTGGAAATGTGGATACACTAACTGACAGAAGCACTCACTACACAGTAAAGTAAGTGTTAAACTACTACGACTCTGCAAAGTGTGTTAAAACTCGATAACGCACAGCTCCAAGTTGTTTAATGTGCTTATACCACGACTACCAACTGAAATGTCTCACCGGTGAGTCTGTTCACAGTTGCAGTAAATGTCTCAAGTATCAGTTATGTCAATGTCTTAAGTGAAAGTAGTCCCTACTCAGAGCAGTGCGGCATTTGTGTACTCGTTGCTATGGTGACGTCATGGTGATGGCCACAGAGTAGTGATATAGAATGTGATTTGACTGTTGCTGGACTTCTTTTGCGTTATGCAGTGTTAACGCTCAGCCATTAGCCTTTGGGATTCTCACTGCCCGTGGTATGGCTGTCCTTTTGCCAGGAGCTAACTCCAACAATATTTCGGTAGTAAAGTTAACCATGTGTGGGATGGCAGTCCATGTGATTGTGGTGGACTGGTGTAATGGAGGGTTAGTTTTGTTCACCACGCTCAGTCTCTTCTCACTGTTGTGAACTTGTAATAATCACATCTCAAGTTCAGGAGCATGCCAGACCAAACACTACTACAGAGCCCAGCCTGCTCCTGCACATGTCAAAGGAAACAGCTACAGTACATGTATTGTCTCCGCTGTTCATTTACAATATAATCATTATATTATATGCTGTTATCCACAACAGAACAAAAATTTATATACCAGCATGTACAAGATTTTTCAATATGATTTCTTGAAATGTTCAGTCTGGATGACTATCAGCATCCACAAGTTCATTTTCATTGTTCAAAATCAGAACATTTTGTGTCAGAATTCACCCGACAGACAGTAAGCCTTGGAAGCATCCCCTTTATTATTTTTAACTTTGCATTATTTTTACTAGCTTGTGCAGATACACATAACTCATAATATTTTGCTATACATAATATTCAGCCAAAAACAAGGTAAAAAAAAGTTTTTACTTTTTATTGCTAAAATCCCTGTGGTGTCTCCATTGGGTTTTATACTCTATTGTGGAGCGTTGCAGGCAAAACAATAACATAGATACGGAGTTTATTGTCCATAAATTCTCATTTATTAAGTAACTTGAACTGTGTGCTACATTACTCAAAATGCTAACTTTTAGCTTATTGTTGTGACACTGAGCGATCTTTCAGTGAACCTAAACGCCCAAATGTCCTTTTACTTTGAAATAAACAGGTGTTTCCTTTCTAAACACTACCTCTGAAGAACAAGGATTCAGCTCCTTGCTTTAATGTCTGTCATATCTCATTTCAACTTTGCAATAACAATTAACAGCCCAAACATGAAGATGTGGGAGTCAGTGTTTTTGTCACAATAACTGAAGCCTGTCTCTGTTGTGTTTCTTACAGAGGCGCCTCCTTCTGGGATGTCCAAGAATGGATACTTTTTTCAAGAAATGGGTGAGTCGACTCAAAAATGCTACCTTTATTTTGGGCTGAAACAAAGCCTGCTGTAATGAGGAAGCCACAGCGGGTACACCACTACTTTCTTTGACTTGTCATGATAAGAGGGAATGGTGTTTTTGTAGATGCAGTCAGTAATGTGCTAGTGCGATGAACTTGAACGTGGGCAGGAAAATCTCACATTATTCAAAGCTTGGGTATAAAATTTAAACTCTGCACCAGCTGTTAAGTTAACCCCAGTTTCATTACCTTCATCCCAAGGAGAGGAGCCCAATTAGTATGTGGCGCAGTAAGCATTCACGACTGAAAAAAGCTCCCTGTCCTCCCTAGCCAATTACTCCTCACCACACCAGTCCACACATAGCCTAAAGGAGCATTATTAGGCAGCCTTTTATTAACACATAAATAGACTTACATTACATTTACATTACTGTTGGACACTGGGTTTAAAGGGCCCGTATTACCCTCTTTTCTGATCTATGTTATTATGATGTTATTTCCTGATCACAAACATGCCTGGAGTTGTGTTTTGTTTGATTCACACATGTTTAACACACAAACCCTGCATATTTAGACTGAGTTCTTCTCACAAACAGAAAACTGTTCCACCTTGTGATGTCATGTGGTAATACACTCCTATGTTTTTTAAATCCATCTTCACAAGAATTTTTTTGATAATTTTAGCCCTGAAATTGCCAGTCTCTACTGAACTCAAGGTAAAAAAGTAGCTGTTAACTTGAAAAGTACCGCTTCATGACATCACAAGGTAGAACAAAGCATTCTGAGCTTTTGAGATGTAAACAAACTATTAATAAAGGATTACTCAAACATGTGTGAGTGAAACAAAAAACGACTGCAGGCATGTTTTTGATGAGGTATAAAAATCACAGATTAAAGCTCACAAGAGCCAGTTCCACATATATAGGACCTTTAAGCTCTGCAAAATAACAAATGAAAAGCCAAACTCTCTTGTTGACATAAGGAGGTCAAATAGTCTTTGTCCAAATACTGTTAATATGCTAATCCTATGTCATTACCCGTGAGGCTGTATTAAATGTGAGCCTATACCAGACCTATAGAATAAATAGAAAGAAGACTGAAAAGCTGATGTGACATTTATGATTCATAAAACAGCACTTCTCTAAAGCAGGAGACAGATCTGTGTCGAAGCGCTCCTAGTTCGGCTGCACACACTTGCATGAGCGCTGTATACTGCCCTGTTTGCTCCAGGTGTCGGTTTAATTAAAATACGCCCATCACAATTATACAACAGCTATCTACATGAGAGACATGCTTGGACTGAGAAGTACGGAGAGACAGGTTTTGTCCTTTTTAACGTTCACTAAAGCAAGTAACATTTGGAATGAAGGTTAAATTGAGTTAAATGCCCAGAAAATACATTTTGGAAGTGAAGTTATTGTATGCAATAGTTAGTAACGTAATACAGTCCTTCTAGAAGTATTAATGGTGATCTAACAACTTTGGTAGCACAATATCACATTTTAATCACAATATAAATGCAAACATTTGGCAATGACAATATAATCAGTGATATAGCTGTAAATACTTAAATGTGGCCTTTAAAATACGTTTTCTTGCATTTCTACCTTCAGGTTGATGTCATAAAAGACGTACATGCTAATAAAGTACAATATATAGTAATGCAAGCATTCACCCAGTCAATCAGTAAGTAAAACTATACTCCCACTCATTATCAGTCACCACATCCATACACTATTTATGTAAGTTGTCAGACCCCCCCTGACATGTGAGAGAAAATTCAGCTCAAGTAGTAGTAGTATTAGTAGTAGTAGTAGTAGTAGTAGTAGTAGTAGTAGTAGTAGTAGTAGCAGTAGCAGTAGTAGTAGTAGTAGTAGTAGCAGCAGTAGTTTTATCATGATATCCAAATTTCATATTCCCCCCAAAGCAAATGACAGAATATCATGAACAATATGACATGGGCCAGGCCTGGTGATGAGCCTGTGTTCCATCTGAGACATAAACAGGACTTTTGTGATTAAAGTCATCTTTTCAGTGCATACAACAGACTCCAATTATCACCTGTGCTCTTCCATCTCCAGAATGTACCAGAACATTACATCCGCCGTGTGAAAGGTCTCGGGAAAATAAACATGTTTTTATGTTTACCACTCACAAAAGCATGAAGGCTTGGTCTGCTCTTTATAATGGACAGCGTATTATCTACTTTTGGTAAAACTAAAGCTCCAATTCTGTCCAAAGTTTATTATAGCAATAAAGAAGAAACAGCACTCAAATTATGTGGAGTAATGTGCTACATCTTTGTGAAATAAGGCGAGTCCACAGGTTAATCTTTTTGTTTATGTATTTGCCTATTCATTGGTTTCACAGTGATGCAAATCTAGAACTGCTGCCTTAGCAATTAAGCATAAATCTCATCTTTTGGACTGTTGAAAATCCTTCAGTGTCACCAGTGAACAAGAAGTTTAAACACATGAATTGTATTACATCTCAGTCTCTGAGTTCAGGCTGTACCTTCAACATTTCCTGTTTGTGACATCTGAGTCTGCAGCAGAAAATCACACATTTGAGGGAAACATGTGTTGCGTTTATTATTTTCAAATCAAACATTCTTCGCTTCTCATCACTTCAATTTCAGTTCACCTCTAACTGCACATGCACATGCACATGCACAGCTCTGGACTGCACAAGAAAACGCTTTTGCAGAACGTTATGCAAAGCAATTCAGATTTAGGCATCTCCTGTCGAAAATTCTTGTAACCTTCAGAACAAAATAAATTACTTCTTTTATCTGAGATAAATAAGAGTTTGGTGCTTCGTTTGTTGATTCTGCAAAAATCTGTGCTGTCTCTCAGTCCTTTATGTTGTTTTTCCCGTTTTTTATGTGTAAGCAACATGTTTGTTTTTGACGTGAATGCAGCATACATCTCAACTGGTTAATCCGCCTGCCAATCACGCCCTCTGAAATCGGGAAGAAATGATATGGCTCCAGACCCACTCATCTTTGTAAAATTTTGTCAAAGCGTTTTCAAAGTTTTATTTTTCATCCAACCATGTTTGAGTAATTTTATGATCTCTTCTGGGCCCTATTCAAACCCTCTTTATGGTTAGCAGTACAAAACTACATTTTAACACACAGTTTTTAGAGAATATAGCATTTTCAAAATAATAAAAGGGAACATCGCACTTTTGTTTCTATGGATTCTATGGATTGCTCTGCGTAGAATGTTTCACAGTGTGACTTGAAACAGCTCTACCTTACATTTATTCAATTACAGGTGGTTTTATAGCCAAAAAATGTATAGAAAACAGACATTCTGACTGTGAGTGTTGTTGCTTCTCCACAGATCTGACCTGTAACTTGGTCTAGTTTGTTCTCCATCAACAGAGAAACATTAAATCCCATGCTGTGAAACATTCCAGACAAAGCAATAACATCTCCATTAGAGCCCGACCGATATGTCGGTTGGCCGATATTATCGGCCGATATGAGCGCCTGGAGGCATGTCAGCTATCGGCCGATATGCTTGCTGATAGGGGCCAATATTTCACGTGGGCATGTGACGTCGTTAAAAATCTTGGACTCTCTACATTCTGTTCATTTAATCCAATTTACAGACAGATAAATGTCCTAATATGTGGCTCCACATCAGTATTTATCTGCGGAGTCATTTGTCTGTGTGTGTCCATACTGTCCCTGAACACACCACAGAGTCGCGTCACTCACGTGTGTTTGTTTACATCAGTAGACATAGATCCAAACACTGAGATTATTTTCTTTTTATGGACAATGGGTTTGAGTCTGAATTAAAAGGACTTGCAGACTTGTGATGTGAGGAGGAGCCTGTATGAGCGGTGAGTGTTGGAAATATGTCGACTTTGAAGCTAGTTTTGGTCATTTGTTATGGGTTAGCTGCTGTAGCTCCTGCACATAAACAGACTGTTTTCTGTTGGTCTATTGTAAAGTGATTATATTGGCTGTATATTTGTTACTGGACCTGCACTGATATGTAAATGAGCTGTGAATAGACGTGTAAATTATGACATTTGTGCATATAATTAATTACCGCGGCACGCACGTATTTACGGCTAAAGGCTAATAGCACTAGTTTCTTTACTAGTTATGGGTCTGTCACGAACGAAATGGCTCTTAAAGCCGGCTCTTTGAAGCGAACAACTAGAGCCTGCTCCTTATTGGGAGCCGTGTTTTCTCTTTCTCTCACTTTTTTTCTCTTCACGCTGCATGCAGACTCATGGTAGTTTGACAGCGGCAGCGGCTGAAAACGAAACTTTGAGAAATTTGCTTGTACATAGGATTAAAAAAACCCCAACAAAAAACGACCATATTTGGCTGTAGTTTAGCATAAAATAAATAAGTCCCGGTTTAGTCCTTTTTCAGTCCTGGTTTAGACCTGGTTCAGTCCTGATCCAGTCCTGCTTTAGACATGCTTTAGTCCTGCTTGCAACAAAACAATCTGAAGAGCCGCTTGGGAGCCAAAAGAACCAGCAGCTTTTAGTGAGCCGAGCCAAAAGAGCCGGTTCTCTAAAAAGAACTGGAATACCCATCACTAGTGTCTACAGTGTGATGCAAAAATGCCATTAGGCCAACTTACTGTCTGTAAATATGATGTAAAGAGGCAGAATAACAAAAAATGTTGCCTAAATAAACCCAATTTAAAATCCACCAGAGCCAAACCTAAGTTTTTTTAAACAATTCAAGATTTACAGTGAATTTTTACATCACTAAATATATCGGCGATTATATCGGCTATCGGCAGCTCCAACTACCATTATATCGGGTTCATATATCACATATAATCTCCTTGATGAAAAGCATCTGACAGACCCTCCACCAGAAAAGTTACACAATGCACCTTTAATACCCCAGAGAATGTAATAAGTAACTATTTGTGAATATGCTATGTGGATGTTTAGGTACAGCTCTAGATTGCGATTCTCGTTCAAACTATCACCAAATCCTCAGAGTTTAGCACAAGAAACATTTTCACTGAACATACTTGTGCAAAGCGACATTTAGGAGCGATTTGTTGCGTTCAGTTCCCGCTGGTGCAGTCTTCGTCCCAAGGTGAGTTGAAAGTCACAGCACAGTCGGTAAGAAGAGGCAGACCACAATACCAGGTTCAAATAATGTCAAGTGTTCACGGATGATCCCAATGCAGGCTGCACTGAAAGGAAACCAAATTGGGGCTTGTTCTGGGATAAGGTCAGCAGATAAAGAGTGAGAGTGTGAGAGATTGTCTGTGATCGCTACGACGACATTTGGAACATACTGCTTTCTGTAGAGTCGGGTTTAAAGCACTGTTTGAGCAGAGAGCTAGCTCGGTCCTACAAAGGACTCTGAGACAACTGATTCTTTTCAACCAAAATCATGATATAATGTTTCACTGCTTCATACAAGTCAGTAATCCATCAACCAGGTACTGCACTGTTCTCCCTCTCAGTACAAATCATTTTAGATTAGACACAAAGCAGAGCTAACTCGTATTTGAAAGTGTTTTTGAAATGCAATCTAAAGAATAATTACGGTTGCATAACCAGACTTGCTACCAATTGTATTTTTATACAATTAAGAATTAACAATGCAGATCAATAAGAAAGAATGGTAAATCGGTAAAACAGTGATTTTTGGCTTGTTGTTTTTTTCTTGCAGTTGAGGTTGTAAAAGTAAAATAAATAAAAGTAATGTACAATTTGAAGTTGTTGTTGCAGAACATTATATTTAATTATGTTTATTTATTACAAATGTATAAAATGGGTGGTACTGGTAGTGTCAGTTGCTTACAACTAAACAGTTTAAAGGTGTATTGTGTAACTTTTCTGGTGGAGGGTTTGTCACCTGCTCGTTGTTATGGATATGTCATTGCTCTGCCTATAATGTTCCACAATATGACATTAAATAGCTCTACCTTACATTTATTCAGTTACAGATGGGTTTACAGCTCAAAAATACCTAGAAAAAGAGGCATTCTGACTGCATGGTGTTGCCACTCCACAGATCAGATCTACAATTTGACCTGGTTTGGTCTCCATGATTATAGAAAGGTTTAATACCATGCTGTAAAACATTTTAAACAGATCAATAATATTTCCATGGAGAAAAGCATTTGATGGACCCTCCACCAGAAAAGTTACACAATGCACCTTGGTTTGTTTGAATTTGGATGAATTTGAGGAAGTGGCGTAGAAGTCTGTCAGGATGAGATTTTTAGAGTGTTTTTTTTTTATTTTATTTTTTTATTTTATTTTATGTAAATCCCTGGTGTGTGGTCCCAGAGGTGACCCTGTGCTGTTGTGTCCCCAGAGCAGCGGGAGGCGGAGCAGGAGGAGGGCAGCGAGGGCCGAGAGGAGGGACAGGACTCTCCCATCGCCAGCGGAGATGACATTCACCTGTACGAGAACCAGATCAGCCCTGGCCCAGGTCAGTACTGCTGTAGCGCACCCACAGGGTGTGGAGTGTTTGCAGTTTTTTGAAAAAAGACATGATATCGTATTGTTAACAATGGATAATCAGCTCTAATTGTAACTATTCAAATTGTGATTTCAATATTTTGTGCAGCCCTAATTGAATCAGTGTTGATAAATCTTTATATGTTTTTCACTTCAGAAATGTTCTTGAGGTTTCTATGATTTTCACATTTGGAGATCTGACATTAGATGGATTATTTCAAAGGTTTGAAAACAACTTGTAGCAGTGGAACACAGAAAGGTTTCACTGCTACAAGTTTGACTCTGACAACAAATCCAACTTGTCTTCCCAAGACCACAGAGACTGAACAGGAGGCTGAGTGACAGCGTGCTGATTGTGTTGTGTGCATTTGGAAATGTAATCCAGTCATAATTTTGCCCAAATGGAGTTGACTGGGTCCCACGGCTGATTCAATGAAATGTGTTGGTTGTTGTTTTGCAGCTGGGCATTTGATTATGTCCTTCCTGTCCCAGTGATGTTGTGCTGTGCTGCCCAAACCCCCTGTGGTAGCTTTGTGTTGATGCCAGCGTGCGTTCAGGATGGTGTAAGCTGCCCCAATATGAAAAGGTTTAAAATTAGATCTGTGAGCCTGAATATGCCTCGCCAGTCAATAAAACCCTCTGTTTCCCTACACCGTAATCAATAACAGCAGTTCAATCTTCGTCTTTTGCTTCATGTACTTTTTATATCATGAGCTGCGTTCTTCAAAGGCAATCACTGCACATCTCTGGAGAAGAAAAATTACCTTTAAAAAAGTAAAAAAAAGTAAAGAAATTAGACAAAAGCTGAGCTAACTCACATTTGAAAGTGCTTTTGAAATGCAGGCCAAATTTAATTACGTTTGCATAACCAGACTTGCTACCTATTGGATTTTTTGTACAATTATGAATTAACAATACAGTCGTTAAAACAATGATTTTTGGGTTGTTTTTTTTTGCATTTGAGGTTGTTGGTATAATAAATGGTATAATAAACATAATGTGGGATTTGAAATGTTTGTTGCAGAATATTATATTTCATTATGTTCATTTCCAAAGTTATAATAGTACTGGTAGTGGTAGTGAGAGTGGTAGTGAATAAAGTAAAGAAAAACTTGTCCAAAGGCCCTTGGAGAAGTTTAAAGTCATTTGCCATTGGGTCCCGTGCAGCCCAGCGATGGCAGGTGTTGACTTGACAGACAGCTCCTCAGCTCCAGGTGCAGCTGATTTTGACCTCATCTCGAAAAACCCCTCCAGGTCAGCGCGTCTCCACAGCAACGGCCACAGGTGCTGCTTTGGGCCGCGAGAAGGAGAGAACGAGTGTCACAGGTGAATGTGTCACTTGGGCCGTGTCGCCATACTTAGTAACACTCAGGGCGTCTAAAGACAGTGAGAGAGAATGGGAAGGAGAGAAGGAGAGGAGGGGAGAAAGAAGGGACAGGAGAAAGAGGGAGGAAGAGAGAGAGAGAGAGGAGAGGGGAGATAGGTGAAATCCCCAGGCTTCATCTGCACTAATGCTGTTTAGTTTGAAGACCCCCTGTAGAGGATGCTAAATAGGGAGTGATAATATTTGGGCTCAGTGTTTGGGTAACACTTAATAACATTTAAGTCTGTGGCAGCAACGTTAGACCTGTGTGTGCTTTTGTCAAGGTCAAATGTGCTGCTCTGTTACATTCTGTCACATTTGAAATTAAAGTAAAAGCTCATGATTATTTTTCAGTGGTTTACTATTCTACGGTTTCAGCCTCCTGTTATATGTGGCATTTTGAGGACTTTTCACCATTAAAAAAACATATAATTTTAAATTGTTAATTGCTATAGCAACAGCCCAGATTGCTTTCGCAGGCCATCTACTGCAGAATCCTCTTGAAATCCCCCAAAGTAAAAAAGTGAACCAAGGAGGCTATTGCCACACAAAGACTTGTAATTTAAGTAGTGAGGATTGTAACAAGCTTTAGATAAAGAGAGTGGTTCATGAACACAGTTGCAGAGCTCAGTCAGAGTGAACCCAGTGACAGCTCCAGGACCAGGCCCCTGCTGCGACTCTGTTTGTCAGGACCAATACACACATTTCACTGCATTATTCATGCACTACTCCAGCCCCCCTATAGAGCTTTTATCTGCAAGGTCAATGTAACACTAAAAATGTAGATTAATTAAGTATAAACAACTGGTTTAGTTTCTTTAATTACTATTTGTGGATGTATAGTTGCCAGTTTTTATTATCTAATTCCCACTTCTAATCTGGGCTATTCTTCAGCTGCTTTGTGCCACATTAAATCAAGTTAGCGCTTGACTGTGATCCCAGAGCTATGAGGTGTTTCATTTATGCTGCTAATTGTTGTGTTATTTCATTATTTCGCATGGTCAGACACTGTGAGACCTGTCCACCGTAACCAATGAATAGGACTGCAAGATTAATCACAGTCGAAATTGCTGTTTGGATGGAGATAGCAAATTATTGCAAAGGCTGCAGTTTTTTGAAGTGCCATCATTTCCACAAAAACTACAAAATGTCTGGTCTGCATGAAATCAATGTCTGCATGAAATCTTCATGTTCTCAAATGTGACTAGTTTATGTCAGTTCATATTTCAGTCTTTTTGTCAAGTCTTCCGTATGCATTTTAAATATGAACGTGAATCATTTAATTAAAACATGAACCAAAAATACAATAGCAATTGTAATCCTTGTCAGAAAATGTTTCACATTTTTACCAAATCATTCAGCCCTACCAATGAATCCAAGTTTTCCACACCATCTAAATGTAATTGAAAACATCTGCCTTTTATAATTAATTAATTTCTGTTTCTGCATTTCCCTGTTTTTTTTTTTTTCTTCTATTGCAATGCCTTGAGTACTTTTGAAATTTGGTGCCAGGCTGATTCGTGACCTTTATAACGCTGTCCCTCCTGGATTTTTAATGCACCTCTCCAAAGATATGTTTTAAATGGCCTTCAACTTTGAGTTAATTTAAGTGCAGTTCTGATTAATTGTAAAGTACATCCGTAGGACGTCTTTGAATCCCGCCGCTCTCATTGTTCACTAATGGGAGTCTGTCCATTTTTAGACAAAGCCACGATTTCAAGTGAGAATAATTTGGTCTTCTCCTGTTTAAGAATTGAAGTTAATGTAGGTATCAGGTTGGAAGAAAACTGCACATTTTGAACAAACCAATATAAAAAGTCTGTCAAATCAATCAAGTCAAGATCAGTTGTTTGTCCCAACATGCAGGGACCGTTGATAGTTTTTTGCTTTGTCCAGATATAGAAAGTACTGCAATAGTCTCTCAGTCAAAACAGAAGAACATGCAGTAAACTTTTCAGTAAACAAGTCATACTTTGCAGTGACCTCACGCTGAGGGGTACTGTATGTATGTCTATAGAGTAATGTTGCCATGGTGACACAGTAGACACATTAGCAAGCACAGCCTGATTTTTTATTTTATTTTTTTTTTTAATTTTCAGAAAAATACAAAATGGATTTAAACAACACATTTTCAGGAGCCTGTGCTCACTATGAGTGTTCTTGGTCCCGTTTAGGTGTTTGATTTTCAACACAAAAGGTGAGAGTGAAAAACTGTTGGCTAATGCTTGCTAGTTTGTGACTGGAATATTATTTAAGAGGGATGTTTAACAGCACAAATCAGCTCATCTGTTGTAGTTCCAGTCAGTTCTTTATGGTGTGTTATATGTTAAACAAAGCTCAGATTTTAAGTATAACTTGAATTACAGAACTTCAGACAGAGAGGACTCTAGTTTGCTTTGCCCCCTAGGAAATGTCGATGACATCAGTTGCAACATATGAATAGCAAATAATTAAGTTTAACAATTTGCAGGTTAATTTAGATTAGGCTTTGAAAGTATTAGATTTTTTGATTTGCACCATTTCTTCACATGAATGCCCTGCCTACACTTGTAAATGTGCAAAGAAATAAGTGTTTGTTCTGGGTTCTTGATGAAAAGATGATTTGACCTATAACACTTGTGTAATGTCACGGGCTTTGTCACTCCCATTAAACACACACAGATGATCCACTGTGTTTGTCAACTGGTGTAAGAGTACTGCTGGTGACAAAGGCGCTTGAGGTGATTGATGGCTGTGTCTGGAGTATTTAAATGTTCATTTGAAGCTGATCGCACGAGGAGGTTGTTTGTTGGTACTCACTTTTGAAGCGTGTCCGTCCCTCTGTCTTCCCAGGACTTTGTCATACAGCTGTCAAACGCTCACCCATAAATAGAATTGATTTCATGATTATATTTCTGCCAGGACGGGGCCTAGTTCCATTTCACTTCAATCAATTTGGCTGAATACTCAAGTGGAAAAGTCACGATGAAGGACAGCCCTCTCTCACTCCAACAACTTGAAGACTTCGGATTTGACCACGGACCTTCCAAGGATGATTTCAAGAAAACAAAAGACAAGAGTGAAACTGCTGATGTAGACCTGTTGTTTGATGACCCGTTCAAAATTTAGTCCTGATTTTTATGAAGAAAAAACAAGGTGGAGGCGAGTGTTTTCCCTGAAGCGATTGGCGTGGTGTGGTAATGCCTGGGTTGTGAGCTAAACAACAGCCAGTGTTATGGTAATCAGAGCGATTCGTTCACCTTTAGTGAGATGACACTGGGAGTACTGAGCTCCTTACACTAAACACAAGGCTCCTGCTGCCTGCCCTATCCACACAGGACAACTACAAGGCATCAAAATCTTCTTCTAATCCTTTTTTTTTTTTTTTTTTACCACAAAGAGCCATAAAATACTGCGATGATAACAGATGTTGAGGTTAGGTTTCTTGTAATATTAAAATATTTAGTATCACATTAAATTACATGTGCTGTAGACATGAATTCATCTGAATGTTTAAAGGTGCACTGTGTAACCTTTCTGGTCTGTCTCCTTCTTGTTTCCATGGTGCTGTTATTAATTGCCTAGAATGTTCCATAGTATAGCATTAAATCTCTATCTAGCATCTATTTCATTACGCTCCTGTTTAATTGAAAAAAAACTCCAAAACATGCATTCTTGCTGTTACTGGGGTCACCTCTTCACAGATCTGACCTGTAACTTGTCCTGGTGATGTCTCCATGGGGATACATAAGTTAATTGCCATATTGTAGTAGAACATTCCAGCCCAAACTATCAAGCAGGTGATGGAACCTTTGCCTGTAAAGTTACGCTATGGACCTTTAAGAAAAATAAAAAAATGCACTTGTCAAATTTGAGCAACTCCATGAGCTGCAAGGTCAAATGTTTAGTTGCTCCAAGTCAAACATTTTGTGTCTATAACTTACCAACTTACCCCCTTAATAGATATTTATTGTTAGCCTGGGTAATTTTATGCTTTGAGTTAAGTTTATAAGTTTATATTATTCCATTATACCATTCAGTGTGGTATTCCTGATTTGGAGAAGGGTGCTCTTTGAATGCACTCACTATCGATACAGCAATATATTTTTATGGACTTCTTGCCAATGCGCATATCAATACTTTTGAGCAATGGTAATTCATTATAAATTGTTATAGTTATACTCTTAACTACTTGCTGGATTGTGCATTATTCATATGTTTTGGCATTACGGGCATTGTGAGCATGACATTTCAATGCGTTTTGTTATTCTAAATAAAAACAAAACAAAACACGAACCCATGAACCCTGTCTCAAGATAAGTATGGAGTTTGGCAATACCCAGCCCAAGCCCTGCACTGCGGTTACCCACTTCTCCTGAAGCATTGCACCAGAGACATCTAAAGAAGAAATGAGTGTGGAGGACAGATAAAAATTGTATAGTAGACATAATTATTCACACAGAGTAACTTTTATTGATATCATTTAAATACATTTGAACGGCACAAAAGCCCAGATGCAGATTGACTGATCGTATTGTATCCACTCCTTCAGAGCTGAGGCGCGTGTGTGTCCTCATGCACATAGCCCACAGATGTACAGTGCTCTCCCCGACCACAGCAGCATAAATCACCTCTACAGGCAGACGTATCATTTCCATTTAAACCCCCAGCGCGCCGTTGTGTCATGTGATTCAGGTCATGTGATTAATGCTGCGCTCAACGATTGATCGAGGTCATTAAAACATGCTATTGTTATCAATTATTTCTGACTGTGTGTGAGAGATGTGATCCCATTGGTTCAAAGCGGTCCCTCTTGAGACTTCTGTTAGTTTGAAGTCTGTCTCTTTATATTTCTGCCAACCAAGCACACAAATAATTCAATTTGTGTTTTTTTAGACTTTTATTTAGTCAAATTCTGTGTTACTTTTTTACATTTAGACAAAAACATTTTTTTATGTATTTGTATTATTTTCATTAACTGAGTTATTATTTAATCCCACCCCACCCAATAGCATTACATCATCTTGCATTATAACATGTCTCATCTTACGTCATGCAATGATACATTCAACTGTTGTAAATGCTCATTGATCAAGCCAGATGTTACCTGGAAAACAAGCATTTTACTTAAAACAAATCTGAAGATAATATAGTATGTGAACATTTGAAGCAGCTAATCTCATATGAATAGAAATATACCTCTTAAGAGCTGACATCCGTTACAGCTTCGCCCCCCCTTCTCTCCTTTGGGACCAGATCAGTTGAGCATCATGCTCTTTTTTTTCACCGTGGATTTCTGTTGAACACAATCCGCCACATCACGCCTCGGTCCCATCACAGGTGGAGCTGCCGGCTGCACCTTTGTACCAGCACTGCCTGCAGGGTTAGAGTGATCAAAGCTCCCCTCCCATTCTCTACTGTCTGGATTATTGATATTGTGATCTCCCGGCGCTTTCCCTGGGCTTATTGGCTTGTTAAAAAGGGGGTTCCTTGCCCTTTTTCCCCCACCCCAGCCCGAGGGAGGAGTTAAGCACAGATTGATTTGCAGATGGAGCCGACACAGAGGAGGAAAAGCCCATGGTAACCTAATCACATCCTCGCTGCCACAGTAAAAAAAAAATACTAGCGATAACTGTATTACGTAACTGCAGTGCCAGACCGTTTCATGAGAGTCGGTGGGACTAGTTACACCAGACTCCAATGTGATGAAAACAGTAATTTGCCCTGATTGTTCCCAAACATAAAAGCTACTTCCTCCCGTGTCCTCTTCACTGACACTGGGAAAATCCGACCTTTGTGTTTTATCTGCTGGTCGCCTGGACTCTGTGGACGTGTATTAAAACCTTATCAACGTGAAACTTCCAATCCCTGTTCAGTCAGAGCTCTTAGACTCCTGCTCTTGACATTTTCCTCACTGTTAGAAACCCAGCTCTCCACCCAGTTCCTCTGTAGGGTCCTCAGCAGTCACTTGTGATCCTTATTTTACAATTTGCAGCACCAATTATGGATGTTGTACTGCTGCTTATAAATGCAAATGTGGCATGGTAATGTTGACTTTGAACATGCCAACTGTTTGTTTAAATACATGCTAACATATTCTCTTATTAAAACACTATTATGGCTTTGTTAGTAGGGCTGCAACAAATTAGGATTAGTCGGCTAGTTAAACTGTTATGTCAATTGTGTCTCTTGATAGAGGTAAAGATGTACAAATAAAATCTCATTTTGATTCAGTAATGAAACTGAGCTTTGATTAAATCTCTTTTCCACCTCAAGACATGTGTTAGCATCTGTTTATAATCCAGATGACTATGGTTTATAAAATGAGTCTATTATTAATTATTAATTTAAATCATGAATGAAACAATACACATTATCTAAAATGTTAACTTCTGGAGATTTGCCTGCCTCATCTCACCTGATCTTTGTATTATAATATATGTAAGTGTAAGACAGCTAACCTTGTGCAGATTATAGTTGTTCTTACTATACTGTATTCTGTCTCTACAGATGCTGATGACTCTGGATGTGTGTTACTCAACACATCACGAAGGGTAAGGAACTCTCTTTTATATTTTTTATGGGTTTTTAATGTATGTCACATTTGTCTGAGAAAAGGTCTGGTCAATTCAAAATAAAACTTGTCTTTTTGTTTTGCTTCTTCTTAAAATGGAAATAGATGTAGAAAATCATCAGGAGTCTCTTTGATCTAAGATCCTTTTAAGAGAAGTTTGGTCGGCAGAGAATAGCAGTAATTAAGTGGAAGTAATTAAGTTGGTGAAGGTGTGCTTTTTAGGAGGAGAGCCAGGAGGTTTGGTTTGTACCAGCAATGACTGCAAAATGGTGGCGTCCTAGTAACAATGCAACAAAAAAACATGCTTGTGAAGTCAAACATCCAAACACATATAAAAACACAGTAATCCCATGTACTGAGTGAAAGCAAAGCTCCTCATTCACGAACATAGACATTTGGTGGTTTAAATCTGTGCGTTGTGGTTGTTCAGGGCCTCTGATGTAACACCCAAAGAGCATTAGTTAAACGCGGTAACCCTGCGTTAGCCTCCTGTCAAACAACCTGTCACACTGAGAGTTTGTGGAGCGTGTTTCTGCCAACAGCTTGCCCGGATCTCCACTCTAATCTTCATATTCGCTTTCACACATTGTTTGTTTGCTCTACCCGTCTGTTTTGTCCATTTCAATTTATTAACTCTGCCAATTTTTTGCTTTGAGATCTGTTTATATGCGAATTCATGTGGCATCTGTTAGCTTGTTTAACTATTTTCACTTGTTTTGGCTATAGCATGCTTGATGATTATTTTTATAGGACGTAATATTAGAAACACAACAATCAAAAAGAGAATGAAATGTGCTGCATTCACCAGGGCACAAAAGCAGCTCCGCCGATGGGGATTTCTCTTCTCAAAAGAACAGCATGGCGTCCACTCTTCTTCAGAAATTCTGTCAATTTCTCAATCAATAAAATCATGGGCCGCTGGGTGTCTGGGCTCTTAATCGAGCGGTTTTCCTCTGCGTCCAGTGGTTCATTTTCAGAGGTGACTCCCGAATCTGCTGCTCCAACAGAGACTGCATCTGATGAGTCAAGCTGCTGCCATTTTAAAGCACACGGCCTGCCCCATTGGCCCTATGTGGTGCGCTGACATTAGAGTTAGTGCAAAACAAATTAGAAAAAAGATAATAAAGACAGAGACTTGTGTGTTCATGTGTTTGTGTGTGTGCAGTTAAAGTGATGGGCAGGAGTGATTGACGTCTGGCCCTCCTGCTGAGCTACACTTGTGTTTATGGAATAAAAATTATTTCCTGACAGACAGCTGTACTCTGCTGGTTTGTTAAAGCAGACTCAGAGAAATAAGGCTGCCAGTAGCTTTTGTCTACAAATTGTTGTTTACTACTTGATTACCTGATGCATTTTAGCACAACACAGAGCAGGGTTGCATTTAGTAAGCTTTTAAATACCTCTTCCATCATTGTATTATGTTAATTTAACATTTTAACAAATATTTGGACTGCCAGAGAGTGTCCAGTATAAATATAGAAATATGTACATCAATATTGCTGTTATTGCTGTTATATTCATTCTGTCATATTAAAATTTTTACATTTATTGATTCTTATTTGGGGCGATGGGCCAAATTTTCACTAACTTCTGGTGCTGATCAAAAATAATTATTTGTTCAAGTTACAGTTACAAGAGTTCTTCTCCAAACATAAAATACCTAGTCATAGCTTCTTGATATATATGAAACATTTTGAGGACTTTTTCCATGCTCTAAACGTATAATATTTTATTTTAACTATTTAATAACTATGGCAATGGTACTATTTTCACAATTCTAGAACTAATGAATTGTATCTAACCTGTTACTGAAACTACTACTCTGTAAATCACAACAATATTAAACCAGCTGATTCCACTGTTGTCAGAATAGACTTGCTTGGCTAATGTAAAGCTCTTCTTAAGCCTGGATGATCAGGAAAATGCCAGCCATGTTTAATGAACCCTGGGATCTCCTGCAATGCACTCTGTATATGTGAATTCAATTAGCCCCATTCTGTACTCACTCTATGCATAAATGTATGTCTCTTTTAATATAGCATTGTTTTATTCATGGTAATCATCCAAGTTCTTATGTAGCATGTTCTACTTTTGTTTTGTTTTTTTTCTTCCTGGATTTGACTGTTAGAATCAAACAGTTCATTGTAATATTAATATGTGAAACAATTAAATATTTAATCTTTAGCATGCTCAAGTAGTCGGCGCTTTGTTGAATAGTGGCTATCAAGGAAACAGCAGATATATTGTTTCATACAGGTTGACATTAGTAATGAAACAAACAAATGGGGAAGTAAACTGGGACCCTAATAAGAACTGAGATGGAAAGACAGAATAAAACAGAGGTAATGACCTGCCTTGCATTGGACTAAGCATTGACATTCAACCATAGACTGTATAAAAGAAGTCGACTAAGCGAGTGTGATGTCACCCATAGCGTTCAGCTCCACTCAAATGAGGCTCACAATGCTAACGGTTACAGGAGCGAATCTGGAGCCAGGCTCTATGTTATGAATAGGATTTTTTTGATGAACAGAATAGCGGAAAAAAACAAACAGGATCATGTAGAGCAGGTTGATACGATTATTTTACGACCAAAATGACGAGGCTCACTGCAGCAGGTACAGAGAGAGAGGCGACAAGATCCTAATGTATGTCAATTGGAGCCAGGGTCAGAAGGAGCCGGAAGAGCCTCCTGGCGAACTTCCTATTTGGCACACTGCGGCTAGTTCGTTAGCTATGTCCACTGATATATACATTGTCCACACACATATATATATATATATATATATATATATATATATATATATATATATATATAATATATATATATATATACAGTCTATGCATTCATCTTAATTGTATGACAGACTTTTCTGTGACATTTAACACAAACAAAGTCTGAACTCTGCTCCAAACCACATACTTTTAATGACAGAGCAAAAGTATGACTGTAAATAAAAAAGACCCAAGTTGATGACCATTGACGTTTTGAAACTCCTGCGCTTTCATTCAATTAAACTTGGATTAATTGCTCACTTTTGCATGTCTTGGCAAGAGTAAACGATGTATTGGTCGGTCAGCATGCATAAAACAGGCTCTTATTGCTCACCTCAAGCAGTGAGAGATACAGGACTACATTCAAACCATATACAACTATACAACTGACCCTTATTTAATAGATAATGTTGACCACTATTTAATCTTAGCCTTTGTTTTTCCTTACAACCTCTTGTGTATAGCCGTGATATATTTACTATATTTCTCTCTATTTTTTTTTCTTAATTATGCTTTATTTCATTTGACACCAGTCTCTTGCTATTTTGGCCACTTATTTTGAATTCATAATTACCATTTATATATTTGCTCTTTTTTATATTTATTGTGATGTGTGAGCTACTGTGGCGAAGTAATTTCCCTTGCTGATCAATAAAGTTTAAGTCTAAGTCTATATAAAACAGCTTTAGTGTAAACTCACAATACCCCCTTCCCTTGCTGTGCAGTATGTGAAGCTGATGAACTTTGAGGAGGAGGTGCGAGCACATAGAGACCTGGATGGCTTCCTGGCCCGGGCGAGTATCCTCCTGGACGAGACAGCTGCATCTCTAGACGACGTGCTCAAGAGGATGCTGCACCACGTGTCCCAGGACGCACACGCCTCGGAGCCTGGCTGCAACTTCGAGGAGGTCATGAGCATGTTGTTCACAGACGCAGGAGCTCAGGAGGTGAACGGTAAGAACACAAAGTCAGAGCATGGGGCACAGAGTTTATCTTCAATACAGGAGACTATGGTGTCCCCACATATAGGCCTGACACAATAATTACTAGTACTATATTGATTTATCATTTATTTATTTATTATTTTTATTTATTGTTTGAATAGATACACAACCATAGATTAATAATTCAGTAATCTGATGCAGGTATCACAGTGTTTATAGTCAAGGCTAATTCGAAACACCAATCCCCAGAAGAGCTTTAAACTGTTCAGTTCTATGGCTAATTATTTCTTCATTTGGCTATTTATTTGCTACAGCACAGGCCTGTATATTTTAAAATGTTTTATTGAGATTCTTGTTTTATTTAATCTAAATCAGTGGAATAAAGTAGTTTTAATTTGATCGTTTATTGCAATATGTCTCTAAAGCAATATATCGTGCTTCAAAATGTGTTATTGTGACAGGCCTACCCTCATAGTCTGTTTTAGCTCTATAGTCTAAAAGCAAGTGGAACACAAACATTTGACATAAATGACATGGTATGGTTGTACTATTGTGATAAACAAATAGAAGTAACTACAGTATGTTTAATCTCTATATTTAATGTAATATATTAAATAAAACAATTAAAATAGGGATTGTTTGTGCCACAATACTCTGTGTGTAATACATAAAAAACAGCATGTGGTAGGGCTGCACAATATGTCATTTGCAGTTTGAGTCACAAATTGCAGAAGTAGCATTTTTTTAGCAATACAATGGCCACTGCAAATAACAAAAAAACCCCAAATCTATTAATTTTTTTCCCCTTACAAACTGTTGTGAAATGCTTTGGATTCTTGCATTAGATTAGTTATTGCTCTTAGGCATGTTTAAAATATGCTTTGTAAAATGACAATTTTAAAACCTAATTTGCAAATCTATCGTGTTATAATCGTAATACTTGTCCGAAAATTGCGATTCGATTTTCTGTTTTTCAATTGTGCAGTCCTTTGGTGAAAGTAGACACAAAGAATACAGTGTGACAGGGAGGATGACCCGCACAATCAAACCAGGACCAGGGCAGCACCAGGCTCTTAACCCACAAACATGTGCCCCCTGCTGAGACACAGCACTGAGCACAAGTCACACACTTCAAACCAGTTCCATCGCTGTTCTGTCTGTTTGACCGGCAGTTTGAAGGGCTTTTAAATGGCAGTGTAGCAAGGAAAAAACATCTGGATTTGAAAATGTGTGGAATATAACATTTTGTCTTTCTCTCTGACTTGTTGGGTGTTGTATTTTACAAGCTTTCCTCACCAGGTTTCTGCCGAGATTGGTAGTCATTTTCTGTAGTTGTTTTTCCCCAGAAACCGCCTCCCGTGTAGTTGTAACACATTGTTAGCCAGAAGAGCCACATTCATGTTCTTTGTGGAGTGGTTTTGGACTCTTGCTTTTCAAATCATTTGTCATTTACCTGTAATTGGATTTGCGAAGATGTTTTCTCCCTTAAAATTTTCAAAGGGGTTGCAAAGACCAGGATCAATTTAAATAGGCATAGTAATTAAAGAGGGGGTATATGAGGTCTATAGGGTATTAAATGCTAACATAACTTATTTAGATCACAATGCTATCTTTTATTGTTTTGAAATTGCTATATTTGCATGTTTTGAGTCTTCATGCCCTTTGCTCTCCTCGCTAAGTGACCCCCCCTTCAGATCAGTATCACATAACAATCAGCATGTTAATGAAAGTACTGCACATCACATCAGGTTTGTCAAGTTGTTGTGTACAGTTTTGTATCATGTTGTTTTATATTTGTGGGAAATTGTGTGGGAGCATGGATCACGTAGGCTTGTGGGTGCAGCACTGGACAGAATCTTACAGTTAAATGTAAGGAGGAGATTACTGAAACATGCATGGATGACATCTAAAACCTCTTCAGGCATATTTTTGATGAGGGAACAATGCTATAACATGGTAGAAAACAAAAAAAGGTCTTTGATTTTACATAATACCCCCTCTTTAAGCAGGGCATTTAGCTGGTATAGTATGGTTTTCTTACTTTAATTTGACTTTACAATGCCCTGTACAATGTTTAGAACCTTATATTTATTCAAAAGTGTGTCTTCTCAGAATACAGATTCAGGTTGCTGATCTGCTTAGTCTTCATTAGGAACCAATCCATATTAACCTTTGAACACTCTGACACTATCTCAGTTTTGGCTTTGTTTTCAGGCTTTACAAACTGTTCTCTAACAGGACTAACAAATCTAACAGCTGTGATAGACCAATCACTTTCCTTTTTGCTCACTAACAATGAGGATCAATGAGTCAACAAGAGCTCATCAGACTGGACCAGGCTGGTTAGATGGCAGCTCATGTAACTCTACTTTAACTGTCCTTCATTTTATGTCTTTCCAGAGGGTCGATCACCTGTTTATCTCCATAAATATGTTATTGATTGCCCAGAATGTCCCACAGTACTACATTAAACTTGTATATCTCTATGGGGACATGCCAGTGATGTCACCAAGCCAAGTTACTAGTCAGTTCAGTGAAGAGGCATCCCCACTCACAGGAGGAATACCTATTTTTCAAGGCAATTTAGAGCAAAAACAACACCGTAATAAACTAACGCTAAGTAGATATGTTTAATAACTTACTGTGGAACATTCTAGGTAAAAGAAAAGCAACTCCATAAAGACGAATAAACAGTTGACCATTCATTCACCTTTAACACCTATCACACCTTTAAACTTTTTTGTTCATAATTTTTTACTTGCTTTCAGGTGCAGGTGTATGGCTCTCGTTTTGGTTTCTGGTGCTGTCACATTACTGTGTTTTCACTCTGGTCTGAGCTCAGCCCATTAAAGCGGCTCCAGTCTGCTCTGTTACATAACTCTGTATCCCTTTCTCTCCAGCAGCAGCCTCAGCTAAAGCTTTGGGCTGCTAAGACAACGCCGAAATATTTTTAGTTCATATCATAGTTTCACTTTAATGTATTCTACAATAAGCTCACATTATAGCTGGGTTTCCACAAAGTAGCTCTGTGCAAAGTCATTTTTAGTTGTGGGAAATATGGTTGTTTATTATGTTATTGCTTTATGAACCATCCAGTTAAAGGTGTACTGCATAACTTTTCTGGTGACTTGCTTGTCCTTATAAAGATGTAATTTTTTGCCTGGAATATTTGTCAGTATAGCATTAAATTGATCTTTCTAGCATGTATTTCTAGGAATGCACGAATCCAGCTTTTTCACTTCTGATACTAATTTCAATTCTGTGACTTTAAGCAATTGCCGATACCCGATGTTAACCAGTACAGAGAACAGGGCTCTACAGTGCACCCACTTTGTAGGCAAATATTTCGGCATGCGAACGAGGAAAACAAAACAATCACACATGTGTGAGTGCTTCTTGCAGCCCACAATAAGGAGTGGACTGCGCACAGACGTAACGTGATAAGTTAAACATTCTAAAATATATCAAATAACAAAGCAGCCAAAACAACATTCTAAAATGTATCAAACATTAAGGGTGCACTCACACTAGGACTTTAGAACAGTAACCAAGCATGGATAGCACCTAAAGTGGGGTATATTTGTCCAGTGTGAGCACAATCAAACTTTGGCTCGGTTGGAGGGGGTGGCCCAAAGCACGACATGGTTGCAAATGTACGTGCACACGCATGACTTTAATATACAAGCCCTGTGTGCACGCACTGATGTTACTCATATGAGGAAAACAGTGAATAAACTCACACATGGCAAAATCCCGCTTACCTTGAATAATGACTGTGGACGGTGACAGTAATGCTGTTATTATATCCATAAGCTCACAGAGGAGCATGTATCATAAATATCTGCTACAAACAGTGCTGTGTGATGATGTGATGGGGCTGTGGGCCAGTTCAGTTGTGCAGGTGTGAGTGCGGGCCATAGAGGTCACGTCGACCTAATTACACATCCTGGTCTACTGATTATGACATAATTTTTGTCTAAACTTAGTCTGTAGTTTCATTTTTTTCAGTTCAATTCAATAAAATTTTATGTTAGTCTGTAGAAAGAAACCTTGGGCAAATCCATGACTCAAGGGTCTAACACAACCCCCCAAGAGGTCACACAGGAAAAGTACCATCATAATTATTTTGTTTTTTGTGTAAAATTCATTCATTTGAACATCTATCCAGAAAATTTCTCAGTATTGGCGCTGATATGCAGTACCAGTATTGAATCGGTTCATCCCTATTTATTTCATTACTGATGTTTGAATGCTCAAAATACAGGCATTGTTTTTGTAAGTAGGGTCGCCTCTCCATAGATTTGACCTGTGAATTCACCTAATGGCATCACCTGCTTGTCTGCATGGAGATTGTTGCCATACTGTGGAATATTCTAGCTAAAGCAATAACATCTCCATAAAGACAAGTAGATAGGTTACATCGTGCACCCTTAATACTGACATATTTAAAATGAAAAGACTTAAGCTTTATATGCAAATAGGTCTCATATCAGGGATACACACATTGCCCGTATCACTAGGTTTGGTGTCTGTGGGCTTCTGTAGTTGATGGGTACACAGGAGAGGTGCAGGCTTGTAGCCTCTGACACATGGAGAGGTGATAATTGACTTCTGCCATTGATCAGTCACTTGGCTTTTCAAATGGCTGTCTCAGGCTCTGAGGCTTTGAGCTGCGGCGCTGGCTGCTACTCCACTGTTTTCAATGCCACAATGCACAAAGAGACGTGAGAGGGGAATCTTTGACTGGGCAGCCATCTTGACTGCTCAGCTCTCAGTGATGAAATGCTTAATTGATTGCTGGCATTAGCAATTTTGAAGTGAAATAAGATGCATAAAGGGCAACTTAAAACAGATGATTATTTCAAAATTTACTAGTGACTGCAAACATTACTGTTCTAAACAAGTGGAGCAAAGGACCTGTATTGCATCTTTTTTTCAAAGATTTTCTCAAATTCAGCACAAAGTTATCAGGAAAATGCAATATCTCATCCCATAAAAATAGCCAAAATG